CTTCCAGGTCCCCTCCCCCACCTCCGGTCTGTGCCTTAATACATCTGTTTCCTCTTCCACCCTTGGATCTTCCCTTCCCCAGACTGGGTCCTTAGAGCCCTGGCAGGAAGGGTCAGGGGTCATCTAGGCCATCCTGGGCTCTCCCGGCCCTTCGACTGTAAGCCACACGGCACTGCTCTTTTCCTTCCTATTAAATGTTTTACATGTTTGACTTTCTGTGACATATCGTTCCGTTGCCAAGGGAAGGGGCAGCATATCTGAATTTATTTAGTGCGTTAGTTCGTTCAGTTTGTACCCCGCCCTCCCTGCCGAAGCAGGCTCAGGGCGGCTTACGTTAAAAAGTTAAAATCTATTAAACCACAGATGCATGAGCACAATACGGCATCATAAAAACTCTTAAACGTAACAGGTCACAAATGCAGATAAAGTGCTGGTGGCGGTAGCGTACCAATAGGCTATGATAAGATGATAACCAAGCAGGGGTTGTGTCCTGCGGGAGTGCACGGGAGCGGAGCTCCAGCAGTAAGGAGCCCAGGGGGCGGGCACATGCAACAAGATGATAAGATGATAACCAAGCAGGGGTCGTGTCCTGCGGGAGTGCACAGGAGCGGAGCTCCAGCAGTAAGGAGCCCAGGGGGGTGGGCGCATGCAACAAGCCCCGCCCCCTGCTCCCAGCAGCCCTCAGTTGGGCCACAAGGAGCAAAAAGCCAGGTAAGTTGCAGAGCCACCACCCCCCCGGCCCGCCATCAGATACAAGCTCTTCCTCCTCTGTGAGGGCAGATCTGCGCGTCATCCCCCCATAGCTAACAATCCAAAACAGTCCAGTGGAGCCTGAGTGGTGGGTGTTGCCTTCTGACACACTTCCGGTGATGTCAGGGGGTGTGGCATATGCAAAGAAGTTATGCTAATGAGCTCCTGCACCTCTTTTTCTACGAAATGACCCCTGTAACCAAGTATGGCCACAGTCAGTGTCCAGGATATCACAGGCTGTTGATGTTGACATAGAGGGCCTTGACAATTTAGTTGTTAGTAGCGGCTCCTAATCGAAGGCCTGGTGGAAGAGCTCCATTTTACAGGCCCTGCAGAAATGTAATCGGTCCCACAGGGCCCTGATGTCTTCCGGGAGCTCATTCCACCAGTGTGGAGCCGCTACTGAGAAGGCCCTGGCCCTGGTAGAGGCCAGTCTGGCGTCTTTCAGTCAGGGAGGGCCAAACGGTTTTGAGACCCCGACCTCAGTGCTCTCTGGGGAACATGTGGGGAAAGGCGGTCCCTCAGGTAGGCAGGCCCCAGACCATATAGGACAGGAACCCAGTGTGCTTGATTTGGTCCTGTTTGGTCCTGGGAAGAGGAGGAAGGGAGCCTAGGTTTTGAGCACATGCAACCGCCTTATGCTGTGTCAAACAATCGATCCATGTGTGTAATTCCCCAGCAGCTGTTTAATGACAGGGTGTTTGGGAGGGTGTTAAGAAAAAGAAGAAATTGGATTTATACCCTGCCCTTCACTACCCAAAGGTGTCTCAGAGCGGCTCACAAACTCCTTTCCCTTCCCCTCCCCACAACAGACACCCTGTGAGGCAGGTGGGGCTGAGAGAGCTCTGACAGAAAGCACTCTTTTTCCAGAATAGCTGTGACCAGAACAGCTGTGACCAGACTTGCCCAAGGTCATCCAGCCAGGTGCAAGTGGAGGAGTGGGGAATCAAACCCGGTTCTCCCAGATCAGAGTTCGTGCATTTAACCACTGCACCAAACTAGCTCTCTCTGGTTAATTCATAGGGTCACTATAAGTTGAAAGTGACTTGATGGGTCTCAGCTGACATACAGAACTCTGTATTCTCCAGCGTCTCTGACAGAGAAAGGCCCTTCTCAATCCCTGCTAATGGAGATCCAGTTGGGGATTCAACTTGGCCCCTGTTGCATCCAAAGCACACCGCCCCTGAGGCATGGGTGAGCCTGTAAATGGAAGGCTTCTATGGACTGGGGAATGAGTCAGGGAGACAAGATGCTTAGGAGCAGAGGGAGAATTTCCTTTGGATGAAAGTAGTGAATCAGACCATCGGTCCATCAAAGTCAGTATTTTCTAAGACTGACAGTGGCTCTCCAGGATCTCAGGTAGAGGTCTTCCATTTCACCTACGGCCAAATTCTTTGAGTGGAGATGCTGGGGATTGAACCTGGGACCTTCTCCATGCTAAGCAGATCCTTTACCAGTGAACTACGGCCCCTGCGTTTAGTTTGTGAAACCAGCAACTGGCTCACAGATGATCATTCCTCAGTCAGTTATCAGTTATATAAATTAAGCCTTTATTGGCATAAAACAATATCTTAAAAGAAGATTACTATAAAAGAAAAATATACATATAAAACCAAGCATTTTGCAGACTACATGAGATTGCAAAATCTTACATAAAACAATTTGTTACAAAGTGTTGCTCATTTTGGTAGTTCATTCCTCAGTCCTGGTTGGTCTCAACAAATGCTGGTTTCTTCATCTTTGCTTTGTCCCTTCCACCTCTTCAGAAACCTGCCTGGTATCTCAGCCTGTGTTGTCACAAGGGAGGTGCTGAGAAACATGCCAGGATTAAATCAGTATGTCTGCATCACACAAAAAACAGCAACCTTGATCACATGTTACAGTGAATGCATGTACAACCTGCATTTGTGTACACTTGCTGGTAAAAAAAATTCCAATGCCTGCTCATTTTACTAATGAACCTGGGGACTGATACCTGGGTAAATGTGGGGTTCAGCTGTACATTCATTGAATGTAACATGAAAATCGCTCAACACATGTCATGTTAGGACAACATGTAAATGTCATGTTAGGACAACAGAAGGCATGAAACAGTTGAGAAGCAATGAAAGCCCTGCTTGCTCCCTCAGGAAGGTTGGGTATACTTCTTGGTGCAGAAATGCATCTTTTTCCACTGGAAGGGGGGTGGGGTAAAAAAAAAGTAGGATTTTTATCCCTGAATTTTTCTGTTCCCCCAGCCTTCATATCTTGAGCAAAACTTCAAAAGAGGAGGGGGAACATGTTGATGGGAAACTGACTAGCTGTAGGCTATGTGCTTTAAATCTGCTTTATCACATTATCTCTCCCAACACGCACACCTACAGTTTGAAAGGGCATCTTCTGATGTTTAATGGCGTTCAGGGTGCCAAAATTCTACTCTGATTATGGTTTTCATCTGTAAAATGAAAACAAAACATCAGGGTCCTTAAGTTTGCACTGAATGCAAACATCAGAGGATGCTAGACTTTTGGTCTCTGCCTTTTGGTTTGGTGCAGGAATGATAAAGAATTTTTTTTTTTTTAATCAAGGGCTGCCTCCATTGTCACTGTCAACATTCAGCCCCCTCCTCATAATTTCTTGTCCCCACTATAGCATAACTTTAACCAATCCAAGATGGCTTCCTCACATAGGTCTCTAACCTGCGGCCTGACGGTATGGAGATTGGGTACAGAATGAAATACCTACAGACATACCCCGGAGTGGGCGAAGGCTTCTTAACTGTACACCTATGTAATTTTTTTTTTTTAGACGTTAATAGCGTACGGCTTTACCCGCGCCGTTAAAAATTAAACAGGCATCTCGTTAGACAGCCCCGAGACGGAGAGGCCCCTTCGGCCGCTTCCTTTTTCCTCCCGCCTCCTCCTCCCCCCGCCTCATTCTGCACCGAGAGAGCGACTTCCTGGAAGGCTGGCTCAACCGAACGTGCTGGCTGGGCCCGCCTCCTGGCCTCATGGGCGCCGTAGCGGCCGCCGCGCGGCAGGAGCGGTGGGCGTGGCTTGGAGGGGCCTGAAGGGAAGTTAGGCTGCACCGTCCATGCTCGGCTGCCTTGTTCTCTCTCTCCCTGGGAGAGGGGAGGGGGAGGAGAAAGTCGCTCCTTAAAGGGTGAGTCGGGGGTGGGCAGACCCCCAGGTAAGACCACGGGGTTATCCCCCCCCTTTTTTTTACACACCTACATCACGGGGGGGTGGAGGCGAGGAGGGTTATTATGGGATGGCCTTTCCCTTTGCATGATGCAGGCCTAATGCAGAGACGTTCCCCTCCCCCTCCTTGGGGGGGGGGATCCATTAGAAATTATCCAGGAAATGAAAAG